GTAATTTTTATTTCTTATCGATATACCGATTTGTAAATAAAATGATTTCAAAAAAATGAGATATTTTTCCTCGTAAACCCCAAATTGATTAGGAGGGAGTATTAGACTACTAGATAATGATACAAAAAATAATTTTATTAGATTCATATTATAAAATATTTTCATGTTAGTAGTAAGAACAAGGAATAGACTGGAAAATAGTCAGAAAATGGATTTCCCCCAAAGTATTAAGAACAATGAAAGATTGTCTGCCCTTAACACGGAAAACAATTTTCAAGCAAGCCAAAAAAAATTACTATATCTTTAAGAAAAATCATTTAATTTGATTTTCTTTAATTACATTTGCCAGACCTTAGAATAAAGTAAAGAAAGAAAAGTACCTCTAGGCCGCAGCTTCCCAACTTCACTCTTGCCATTTCTGCGCCCATTTGGCTTTCTTTTGGAGAGAATCACTGCGATTTTGTGAAGTGCCGGGGCCATTTTTCTACCTACCTAAGTAGGATGAGCTTCTTGTAAGACCTACATAGCTACTCCTTCAGTTCCTGCTCATTTATAATTTATTTTCAATTCAACTTATTTGATTGTAGGTGTAAAATTAAAAAATAAAATTTATATATTTAAAAACTAGATCAAAAGTTCTACAAAACAAGTGGCGACAAGACTATATTATTTAATCAAATACCTAATGAAAATAAGTAAAGAAAATGATTAAAGTTTGACCGGATAAAAAGTGTGTGGGAAGATCATTGTAGGACGGAGGGAGTATTAGTTGGTAGGGGTGGGCACGGATCGGGACGGTCCGGTTTTAGGTTGTCCCACGTCTTGTCCTGTTATATATAAACGGTCCGGAACGGTTCGGATTACAATCTCATCCCGCTTTGTCCCATAAAATTCGGGATCGGAATAAAACGGGACGGATTCGGGTCGTCCTACTTTGTCCTAATCGCAAATATAAGAAGGGGAAGAGAGTGAAATTTCATTCAAAAAAAGAAACATCTAGTCATCCAACAAAAAACAATGAGTGGAACAGGTCCAAATAAATTTCAAGCTCATGAAGTTAATTTAATTAAATAACTAATTAATTAAAGAATAAGTGTATTTGGATTTTGGACTAGAATTAGTATTATATATTAGTAGAGTAGATGAAACGGGACAAACAGGACGGATCGGTATAAATTTAAGCTGTCCCGCTCATGTCCCATTTGATATTGGGACGGAACGGGTTCGAGACCAAAAAAATGTGTCCCAATATATCGGTACAATTACAAAACGGATCTGGGATTTTTCGGAACGGTCCAACGGGAACGAATTTTACGCCTACCCCTATTAGTTGGTACTTTTGGATTTTCTAGTAAAAACTTTGAGCTCTCATAATGTATTCTTTGAGCATATTCTATCCATTTGACCATTGGGATTAAAAGTTTTGATACTCCGGCAAATATTAAATTTTAGCTTCATAATCATTATTTTATTAAATTTAAATTAAACCTTTTAGATTATCAAAGTTAAAGAACTTTCAATCCTAAGTCCTAAATGGACAGAATGTACCTTCAAAGTACAATATCACAAATTGTAAGGATCTCATAGTATGTATATATATATTTTGCATAATGTGGGATGTGAGAATCTTACCAAAAAATTGAGAGTACCACAGAGTATATTTCATATAGTGTGGACCTGGAATTCATTACCAGAAAATCGAGAGTTAGTACCCAGGAGTAATTTTTGAAATTTCAATTGGTGCTTTTTTAACAAGTGTCTTTCCATATTTATTGCTCGGTTATCAAATATTACTCTCATAGTCCTTCTTTTATGGATAATTTTTCATAGATTGTCTTTTTTATCTTCTGTCATGTTGGTGTTAATTTAAAGACTAAAAATATAATTTGACATCAACCTTATGTCGGATGATGTATTATGATATTGGTTAGACGAATAACACACAAATAATAACTATGATTTTCAGCTAGGATTCCGACGAAAGACTACAACTGTAGACTATGGTTGTAGTAGACATCGACTGTAATTCACAAATGACGCATCAGAAACGGTTTTTGGAATTGTGTGTATGACAAGAAAGATGTATTATCGTTGTTAAATTACACTTTTAGCTCTCGAATTAACATCAACATGATAGAAGATCAAAAAGGACTATTTGTGTAAAGATGTCCATAAAAAAAGAACAACATGGACAATATTTGATATGATAATAGAGAACTAAATAGGGAAATTTTCATGTTATAAATGACCACATGGGCAATATTTGATATGACAATAGAGGACTAAATAGGGAAATTCTCACGTTATAAAGGACCACATGGACAATATTTGATATGACGATAGAGGACTAAATAGGAAATTCTGCATGCTAGAAAGGACCAATTATGAAATTTACTTCATTAACGCCCTATTCTTTTTGGATTGTAGTTTTAAATTTGGATGCTAAAAGAAATTTGAACGAGTTAGAAAAAATTATAAAAAGTTGAAAGAGTTCGAGAAAAAATTAAATGATAAAAAGTCACTCAATTAAATGATCACCCAAATAATTATGTAAGAAACCTATAATTTTGGATAAAAAAGAATTCATCATTGTTCGTGTTTGAGATGAATTCGTCAGTTGTTTCAAGTTTTTCTAATAGTTTCTCATGTTCTTCAATCTTTTTCTAGTTCTCAAATAACAATTCTAAAAATGATGTATTTTTCATGTATTGTTATTACCTCGTGTTGTTGTTTTTGTTGTTATTAATATTATCATCATCATCATCACTATTTTAATTTTTACATTTTTATTTTTTCTCATATCACTATTTTTGTGATTCGCACTTATTACTATTTTTTCTTCCATTTTTAATATAAATAATACAATTATTTTGAAAAACTAATTTTTATTAGTTTACATGACACTAATCTATGTTCTGAAAATTATATACAATTATTAATCTAAATAATTATGGGTAAAATATATATTAATATTTTATTTTAAAAAACAATAATTATACCATTTTCTCTACCTCTAATTAAATGGCATGCACAATATTTACATAATCGAATTTTATTCACTCCCTTTACCTGTTATGAATTATAATAATTTTAATTATAATTATAATAACACTAATGTTAATAATAATATTAATAAAAATAATAATAACAACAATAGCATTAAGATTTATTATTGTTCTCATCATCATCATCATCATTATTATAACAACAACATTTTTAATAACAATTATATGAAAAATACACTTAAATGAATTTTTGAAATTCCTTGTAATTTTTTTTAGTTTCTTCATGTTTTTTTGTTTCTTCTAACATTCAAGTTTTTTCAGTTATAATGGATATGCTATAAATAATTTCTGAATCCAACTTTTCACAAGCTCATGGATTTAGAGTGTGTTTGATCTATTCAGATCTAAACTTATTATGATTTGTTTAGAATCTTTATCTGATCTGAAGCTTTTTGCTGATATGATTGTAGCTTTGTACGATTTCTTCTCTCGAATTTCTACTTAGCATGTGGGTATTCTATGTTTATTAGCTAGTCAAAACTGTTTATAAGTCTACTGATGATATGATTCTGTGTACTTATGAACTGACTTATAAGTTGCTTATAAGCCAAAAACAATAAGTAGGACATAGCTATTTATTTTTAAACTAGTCTTTTTGTTTCTCTGTTTTGATCAGATTATTTACAAAATTATTTTCTCATCATTTGTGAATATTTACAAATTATTTATCTATCATCATTTTACTTCCACGAAAGAATATTTGACTTATAAACAACTTAATGTTTGATAGAAAAATTATCGCTCATATTTAAGGATGACTCGAACTCAAAAGTCAAAACCTGTTGAAAATGAGTAGTGTTGGATGGAATATGGGTGCGTCCTCCCATTGTGTTCAAGATGTTTACGTGGACAAATTATTTTTCTCCATACAAATTTAAGCACTAGTATGCTACAATTTGTAATGTTTGACATTTTCCAAAAATCTTTCCATATACTTTCTATTCTTTTGACTTAATAAAAAATACCCAAACACTTATAGTACTCAATTACTTCATAAGCCCTTCACCCAACTTTGATGGTTCTTACCCTTTCTATCTTCTTCAAAAGATTGATGGTTTTTACCATTTCTAACTCCTTCATAAGTCTTTCACCCAACTTTCTGCTCCTCCCTCGGCAGTATACTGCCAGGGGTTCCAGAGGATAGGGGTGCTATGGTGAAGGATTTAAGAACAGAATAAGAATCATCAATTTTATAAACAAAAATCGAAAGTATCCCAAAATGACAAAATCATTCTCGGGTCATTTTCCAATGTCATTCTTTCACTTCCCGGAATGGAAAGATATGTTTGGTTGGGTGGGAGGGAAGAGAAGGGGAGGGGAAGGAAAATGAACCCCTTCCTTCGTATACTTTAAAAAATGAAGGGGAGGAAACATAAAAGTTTAAGCCCAAATTCCTCTCCTCCCCTCCAAGTCGGAGGGATTGCTGCCTTGCTGGCCATCATCACGTCTTTCATCGATCCTTTGTCCATCTTAAGTCATAGAGAATAGAGATTCGTTTCACTATATGAAACTCATTTCGTTGAACATAGTTCAACTCATTTCGTTTCAAATGAGTGTAACATCATTCGAAGAGGTACGACCAACGGGAGTCCTTTGACCGTAAGGGAGAGGTACGTCCAACGTACGTAGTCGCTAGAAAATTCGTTTCACTATGTGAAACTCATTTTGTTGAACTATGTTCAAGTCATTTGAAAGAGGTACGAAGTCACTTGACTAAAAAGAGAGGTACGAAGTCGCTCAAAGAGGGGAGTCCCTAGAGAATTCGTTGAGCTATGCTTCACTATGTTCAACTCATTTCCATCTTTGCAATCAGCTTAATATGGTTTGCCATCATCATCGTTTTGCTTCATCCTCCTTCACCGTAGAGGGCATCGCCACCATCTTCATTCATACTAGATCGACGTCATCTTTCAAATCGAAGGGATTGCTGGCCCACCATGATGCAGGCCTTTACTTTCAACGTGGTGAAAAAAATTATCAGGAAAATAAAAAAAAGTGTGGACATGCGAAGATTTAGTTCATCATGGCATTCACTTGACAATAAAATGCTTGAGACACAGACATTATTTTACAGTGTTTGCAATTAGCTATGAGATTAAATTATCAGACCTCATTTCTGCACATCATTAGTTCCCCTGCAATGAGTTCCCCGCGGGCCTCCTGCATCTCCGCGCTGCATTGTGGGGCCCTGCCGCTGCTCGATAGGAGAGATGTTCAGCAAGCCGTTTGGGATGGGAGAGCCATGAGAGGGGACACGGGAGAGGGATTGGTAGTAGTGATGATCGGCGTCACCTTGCATATGTACAGTCGTAGCAGCATCGGCCGAGAGATCCGAAGTGCTATCGGTGAAGGAGGGGAGGCTCATAATGGATATTTCGGACATTGCTTGGAGTAAGGGATTGATCCCAGTTACCCTTTTAACTGTTTCCTCCGCCATCTTCACCTGCAAGAAGAAGAAGAGTATATTCATATCATCAGAGTTTATAAACTTACTGCATTACAACAACAACAACTACAACAACCTAGTTGAATCCCACAAGAGTGGGGTCCGGGGAGGGTGTGCGTACGCAGACCTTACCCCTACTCGAAAGTAGAGAGTAGGGGCGTTCAATCGGATCGATCCGATCCAATCCGAAAATACGGATATCCAAAAATTTCGGATCATGTAAAACTCATTCCATATCCGATCCGAAAATATTTGGATATCCAAAATTCGGATATCCGAATTTTCGGAACGGATCACTGGATTATCCGAAAAGTTAACTTTTTAGCAAAAATTTACAAAAAAGGGTAAAATAGCAAAATCAACCCACAATATAAAATTCAACATAGATTTACTAAAAGAAAAATTCCACCACTAGGTAATGGCCTAATAAAAAATGATACCAAATTCAATTTGGGAATAACTTTGGTAATTTGGCCAAAACAAATCAAACAAAAAAGCACAACTAGAACAAAAAGTTCCAAAATGCTAATGCAAAAAGTCCAAAATGTTTGGATTCCAAAATCAACATAAAATTGCATTAAACATATAGCCATAATATATATCCATAAAATTTCATCAAACATATAGCCAAAAAAATCGGATATCCGATTATCCGAAAAATTCCAGAATTTGAATCCGTATCTGATTCAATTTTTCTCGGGTATCCGATTCGAAATAAAGCTAAACTATCAGATTGGGTATCCATTTTTGGATCGGATCTTCCCGGATCGTGGACAGATATTTTTGAACACCCCTAACTGCTACTTCATTAATTAAAAAAGCGCAGATAGTTTAGAGATCCATTTTGCTTTATTCCATCACACCCCAAAGCCAAAAAAATAGTGAATTTTTTACACCATCGAAGATGATGGAAAATAAAGTTACTGCATTTAAAAAACTCTCCTACTCTTCTCTATGCACAGCAATAGTGTTCTACAAAGCACTAGGAGTGCATAAATGGAATCGGGTGGGTGTTTGAGTAAGCGATTGAAACGTATTTTGTGAACATAGGGAGTGTTTGAATGTTCGAATACAATAGTTTGGAGTAATTTTTATGATTTACAACTTTTGTACTCAACTGCAATAAAAAAAAGGTTGTATCTTGGTGAATAGAGACACTTTATGGGACGGAGGGAGTATATTCATGATTTCATATGTTCATGTGACCTCTAAAAATAATCGAACAAATTGTTTTTCATTTTATTCTTTCTTCTTGGATAATATTGGTGCATGAAATGAAGCTGTTGTTACCTTTGCTCTTAGTGTCTCGACATCTGCTTTCAAGATTCGATTATCAACTGCTGCATCATTATGCTTTTGGCTTATGTCAGCCAAACGCTTCAACAGAGAGGAGTTTTCGAGTCTCAATTGAGAAACCTAGGGAAAATTATGGGTAATACTTGGTCAAACTAGTCAAAGAACATCAACTGGTAAAAGTACAAATAAAGAGAAAATACCTGTGTCTCCAATTCTGTCTGATGGACCTGTTTTCTTCTTCTAGAACGTCTAGCTGATTCTCTATTGGATAGCATTCTGGTTAACATAAAATATTCGTAAATTGGAGAACACTTGATGTCAACTACTACACCCATAATAACATTAATTCTTGCATTTAGCCATTAAAAAAACAACCTAGATCACCATGCAAAAATGTAAGAGCCATTTGGGATAAAGGTTAAAAAAAGATTAGACTATGAAGAGACTTTCTTCCACTGAAAGTACAATTATATTTAAAAATGAATGACGGGGTGGCCATTCAATTCAAGTTTCTCACACCTAATGCATGTTTAGACAAGGTGAGTTGTGCACTCAATAATCAAGAGAGATAGCATACCATTTTCTAATGTGAAAACTCACAACAAAATTCAGAATTAGAAGTTTACAATTTATTGATAAAAGATTAACTGCAGTGTGCATCAAAAAAATATGAAATGGTGTAAGCACCAATAATATCAATATCATAACCTTCATCCCGCATGAAATATGTAGTGCCAATTTATAGTATAAAGTTAGATAACACCATAAATTCGGGCACAAAAAAATCAAGGCAAAGTTTTACGCCGGATGCCTTCATGTTGTAACCTACGAACAAAGGAATTATGAGATGAAATTTCAAAATGGGCATCATCACAAGGCATTTCCTATTGCTCATTCCTTCTAGATTGAAAATGAATGTTTAAATCTCACTATTCTTTATTTCTTTTTTGTGGAGTTGCTGCTTGTCTCAACAAACAAATTGAGCAAAAGGTTGGTCTCATAACAATTACTCTCTCCATCCCACAATGAATGCCACTTTCCAAATAATGTGCAAAATCCCATCACTTTTAAAATCATTTTATTATTTTAATTAGAAACTGGTATAGAAATAAAAAGTATAAATTACACCGTTAACAATAAGTGACAAGAATATTTTATTTTATCAAATGATCAATGAAAACTCAGAAACAAACAAAAGTTATAAAGAGGCCGAAATAGTAACAAAGGCATCCATTTTGGGATGGGGGGAATATAATTTCTAACCTCCTTGCACGTTTCACTTCTGTTGCATCCATTTGGTGAGTTGTTTCTGCTTCTCCATCAGCTTCGTCATCATCAGATTGTTCTGAGCCACTTGTTGACCGTACCCGAGCACTAGATTTCACAGGCACTGTAGGTAATGTAGGTGTTCCAACATGCCACCCAACATTCTTCTCTTGCCCATTGGGTAAGCCATTCCGAGATCCTACATTTTAATAGTAAAAAGGTGAAAGTTTTGTACAATATAATCAAATTATGACACACTCTTTGGACATGGAAATGACATCAGGAAATTTTTATAACATGTGTTAACTAATACTAGTAGCACATATTATTTCTCAAAGTTGATGCAGTGCTGCTGTTATCAGTCATTACAAACAATGTGAATAAAAAGGTGGAAGACAATGAGGTTAAGACTGGAACAAACCGAGAGACAAAGTCTATCTTTTTGTATTGACATTATTTTACATTTCAACCACTTGGTAGAAAATGAACATAAAAGAAGATGTCTTCCAGACAAGGTCAAATCAGTTCTTGAAAGTTGAAAAAATTAACAGCATGTCCAAGAACCTTCCTAATCTTGAATGAAATAGTTCAAGAAGGAAAGTGCAAAATGAAAGGGCCAACTTTAGTAGAGAGGAGAGTCATTAGTTGTAATGTTCTACTCCAGATATTTTATTGATTGCACGATATCATTAAAGAAACCCGAGATTTCAATGCAAAAGGGAACACTGAAAGAGTTGCATGGGTCTTGATGCCTGCAAAAAATTTCATACTTGGATATAGACACTCAATAATCACCTCCATGACCAAACACAATACCAGAATAAAAAGCAATAGAAAGACAATGAGGTGTGGTTTCAGCTTGATAGTGATGGTGGTGGTGACGATGATAATATAATACTCCGTAATAATAATAATAATAACAACAACAACAACAATAATAGTAATAAACAATAATAATGATAATAATACTCAATAATAATATAATAATAATAACAATGTGTTGCTCTTGAGACAACTAAGATACTTCATACACGCATCGTCTAGAGAAGCACCCCTAACCTTTAGAATGAACTACAGATTCAGGATTTGAAATAGTGGACTCGAATCCTTTTTCCGGCAGGACCTTAGCTGAATCCTTCTCTGGCTCAGCAGAATTTCCCTAAAAGATAAGATAAACAGAAAGCAAATCAAGAAAGGGTTCAGAAGCCCGGAAAAATCAGTTAGATCCAACTTCAAACTATTTCGTCGGCCATGAAACGGATTCATGGAGAAAGATGAAATCTTAGAATTCTCAAAATTCTAAATTTGGAGTAATAGACAAATATCTTAGCTGGAAAAGCGAAGTTCACAAAATTTGTGCTCCATTGCGTTATTCTAGTGCGCAAATTCTGCGCACCAGACAAAAAATCGGTTTTGGGGCTCACACGTGAGAACGCTACGGCGGCGCAGGCGAGATAAAGGCGCGTTTTGAGGAAAGCCTGATACTCCTCGGAATCAACGGGAACATTAGGAGCAGCTCCGGCACCCAGCGACGCAGCTACCGCGCTATCAGTAGCGGGCTCCGGGACGGAGCTCTGGTGACCGAATTTCATATTCCGATCAGTTCTAAGATTCTGATCCGCGATCTCGACGCCGTCCATTTGACGCGGCTGAATCCAGCGAGAAGCCGCAGCTGCGGCGGCGGCAGAAGACCCGGCAGGGGCGGGCGAATTGTAGTCAACGGAAACGGAGGCCTCCTGAAGGAAGCGCTGGAAGGCACACTCAGAGGGGCTACGGCTCATCATCATAGAGTGCGATGACTCTGTGTTGACGTCCGCCGCCCGCAAGGGGCGCACGGCCGGCGGCGCACGGAAGGGGTTGGCGCTTTCGTCAACCGCGAGCACCTTATCCATGTTCAACTTCTCTACGCACAAAGGGAGGTGATTTGGGATTTCGAGAATCCATTGAATGAGTTCACACTTATAACCATCCGTGGCTTTTCATACTCATTTGTGCAGTTTTCACTCCCTTTACAACCTTTTCATCTCCACTTCAACCCTTCTAAAAATAATTTGCTAGATTTAAAATTATGATTCAATTAGTGATAAGCGGGAGTGACCGTTGACAGTGACAATAGTAGCCAGTGATGGAGAATGATCAACGATTTAGAAGAATATCAAAATTCTATATTGATACCTCCTGATTTTGGAATATATCGAAATCCTCTATTTTAAAGATTTATTATATCTGGAGATATCGAATTTGATATCTCTTTTAGCTTTGCCAAACACCAAAAAAAGATTTTGATATACTGGGATATCAAAACTCGTCCCTTGTTTGCTCATCATACACACCTTAAATTGCAAGTTTGCATCCTGTTCAAATGCGATGAGAAACAATTATATTAAGTATGTGTTTATTCAAGTACTAAATGCATGCTTCATTCTTGATTATAACTCCATTTGTCTCCTCTCAGATACCTATCCGATCGATTCTGAGTAGGCCTTTAAATTGAAGTAAAAAAATATAATGTTTTGGACCCTAGATGAATTTCTTGTTTATTATACGGAGTATATAGTTAGATTATATTTTTTAAAATTATTTTTATTGATTATATCACTACTCGTTTAGATAGAATATGAAATAGTGAAATTTGTAAGCTCAATATCGAGAGTCCTCAGAGTCTACAAACTACTTTAGATTTGCAAACATTTTGTTCTAAAAATCTTATCTCACTTGAGTCACTTCAAACTACTTGTAAAATCATATCTATTTTTAAAATTATCTTATTTACAAATTAGTATGCAAATAAAAATTACAAATTATATATCTTAAACCTGCATTACCATAAAATAAAATAAGATATAATAACAATATTTTATTTAATTACATAATCGATGAAAAGAAACAAAAAAATGAAATAAATGAGATATGATTTTTACGACAGAAGAAGTGTCTAAAATGTGAAGAATAAAGTGTAGTGGCCATAGTTTATTCTCTTCAATTTATTCTTATTACTTATTTTATTGGAATCATGTTAAATTCGATCAGATTAGATCAAATCATATTAGATCAGATCAGAAATATATTTAAATATAATTACAATCAAATCAGATTAGACCAAATCAGATCAAACAAGACTAGATTATATCAAATATTAATAAAGTCATATCAAATCTAATCAAATCAGACGATGAGTACAAACTCTAAGTCCTCCCATGCTTCGCATGCCTTATCTCTATTCAATACACGAAAGGAAAATTTAGCTAAATATTATCTTTCTATTCAAATAACTTCTTCTCGATTTGACTAGACACTCATATTAATGAGGGATCAAAAAATCATTAACTTCTATTATATTTTTACTTGAATGAATAATCTTAAATTAAGTGAATAGTATAGATGAAAATGATGTTTTGATATCTAAATACTAAAAGTGGATGGATGAAAGTTGATGTTTTAGATAAGCTTCTTTGTCACAAAAGGATATGCAAAGAAAATATCTTAACAGATCAAAAAAAGTGAGAATATTTTTCGAAAAAAAGGAATAATAAAACATAGTCAATTTTCTGATGAACCTAAAAATATCTTTTTACGGAGTATGATTTTATAGCGAGTCTAACCATAATTTATAACTCTACCTCTGCAAGAGTCAAGCATCGTCGGCATCCCCCCATCACAACCCTCATCACCCCGCCACCCAACACAATCTGCCTTCATCACCGTGAAGAAAAAGCTAATGCTCTCAATGTTTACTGTCTTTGCATCGTGAAGAAAAAAGAACAATGCCCATTGTATTCAATGTCTTTGCATCGAAAAAGAAAACGAACAATGACAACGATGTTCAATGTTCTTATATCTCATAAAAAAGGAAATTCAAAACTAGAGATTAACGATGGTGATGCCCAATGGTTAACAATGGGTGCGAGACACTAGCTATTTAAAAAACAAAGATGGCGTGATGTGCAGATTACGTGGAACATTTAATAGAAGATTGATGAAAAGAAAGAGAAATGTGAAGGTCAGGTGATGATCGATGGATCTAGCGAGAAAGATGTGCGGACAGGCGCAAAAGGCGTAAATCTAAAAAACGTATAAAACATTATTGTGCATTAAGTGTGATGTAGAAATTGTAAAAAAAAATCCCATATATATAGAAGACAGTGAGTCACTCTTAAATAAGCAGAAGATTGAAGGGAGAAGAGAGTTAAGCGTGGAGTAAGGTTCTGTAGTTAGTTTTATATATTATAATCGACAATGATTTTTTGATATTGAACACGAATGACATAGTATGACATTGATGCATTTGAGACTACAATACTTTGTTGGTCTCGAAAAAGACTTTTACCCCCCTAAATCTCCAAATCCTCACCTCATCTCTCTCTCTCTCTCCTTTGACTGTTTGGCAATAGAGTGGAGGGGCTAGGGGTTAAGAGGTAAGAACAACTATTAGACGCAATGTAACATTTTAGGTGCTCTATCTCATTATATGGTATTCGTTCATTTGAGAAACCTACGATATTTCGTTGGATCTGAAAGTGATTCTTACCGCCACAAACTCTTCTATCCCTCACCTTCATCCCAACCCTCCATCTCACCGCCCTCNATCACATAACTTGAAAAACATGCAAAACCATGTACTTTTTAAATTCAATTTATTTATAAATTGATATAGAAATATTTCATTCGTCCAACAATAAATTTTTCGTTCCTTATTTATTGAGTCAAACTTTATTCACTTTGTTGGTCTATTTTTGTTTTCAAATTTGATAAGATAATATAGTCATGTCACCTCTAGTTTTGTAGATATTTTCAAATAGTTTTTAAATATGTAATATTTATTTTTTTAATTCAATACAATTTTTCATATAAAATGATTTGAAAATAACTTCAGTCAAACATCGTTACACGGAACGGAAACCTTAGTTATGGACGGAGGGAGTAAAAAATGCAAGCTACATATTTAAAATTATATCAAAAGTGTTATCAAATAAGTGTCGACAAAAAATATTTTGTTTTATCGAATGATCAATAAAAATATGAAAACAAACAAAAGTTATCAGGTGACCGGAGTAGTAACTGTGTAATCTATTTTGAGACAGAAGAGTATATAAAAATAATTTAGCAAATGAATATTATTAATTAGTGACGTTTAATTAATTAATTATTAAGGCTTTGTTTGTTTCGGTTAGAACAAATAATTTTTAACTTTTTCTAACACCTTTCAGTTTTATGACTTTATCAACTTCTTTCAGTATCTTTCAATTACGATTTAAAAATGTATTTATAGATGATGGTTATACAATAACATTATATATATATATATATATATATAAATTTAAAACATAACATCTCAAATATGGATAAAAATAAACTTATATATCCAAAATTAGTTTTCACACATATTAATTTGGGTGATTATATAATTGAGTGTTTTTACACCATTTTTTCCAACATTTTCCAACACCCAATTTTTTCTAACTTTTTTCAAATTTTCCAACTCCTTACAGTTTCTTTTCCCTTCTTCTAGTTTTTTTAACATCCAATTTTATAAATCCAATTAGAAAAAACAAAGACTAAATTTTATTTTTAAAATAAAACATACGGAGCATTGTTCTTATTTGGATGTTGGTTGTCAGCTGTTGGCTGTTAGCAGGTTGTGCTAGCTGTTGTGAATGGCTATTTAGTTTAGCTAGTTTTACAGGCATGATGAATTGGCTGATCGTTAAAAATGTTTAGTAAAATTAGCTATTTGAGAATAGTTTATATATATATACACACACACACATGATATTTATATTTATTTTTTTACTTTCATTTGATTTATAAGAAATTATTAATATACAACTTTTCAATGATTTTTAATTTTTATTTTCTCATTTCATTTTTTTGAAATTTTTAATTTTCAAATTTATTTTTTTAGTACTTAATTTTTTTTAAATTTTAATTTTAATTTTATTTTTTACATATATTATAAAATATCTTTCAAAAAAATGATTTTTAAAAAAAATTAAATTTCCTAACAGCCAAGTCCAAATGCTACTCCCCTTGGCATTTCAGATTTTGGCTTTTCGGATCAAAATGCCAAGTGAAAAAGTCATTAGCCAAACAATGGTTTTGGTTGTTCGCTTAGCCAAAAAAGCCAAAGTCAGTCAAATATGTCAAAAGCTATCCGAAAAGCTGTTTTCCAAATACGGTCATTAAGAGGGTGTTTGGGAGTGCATAGTTTTTAATAATTTAGCTTCTGCTTTGAGTAGAAGTGATTTTACTATGTTTGGCATGTCAGCTTCTGTTTTTCACTACCACTATTTTGTACATAGAACACCGTTTTGAATAAGCGGGTTTGAGGTGCTTTATTTTTAGCTTTTGGGGAAATCACTTTAAGTACGAGAAATAAAGTGTGTTTTGGTACTATATTCAACAAATTTCCCTATACAAAAAGAATCCTTTCTCCCATTCAAGTAAACACTTTGTTTCTAAATATAAAACAAGTCAAAATCAATGTCAACCCTTTCTAAATGGGATTTATCCGATCAAATTAAATTTTATCGAACCATTAACACCGGTATTATTAAAAATAAGTAAAAAAAGAATATGGGCGAGCATATTACCGTATGGTATTGTATTCAACTCGTATCAATATCATATCAAATATTTAGTTCGGTATAGTTCAAGAACGTTCGGTATTATTTTCGTAACAAATCGGAATAACGTACCTATTTTAAACGTTAAAATATCACAAAACATGTTATGTTTGAAAAATCAAAAGTATATTTAAATAAAAAAACATAAAAACTAAACAATGAAAAATTAAATGTAGGAAATGCTTATGAAACTTAGTTTATATTTCACAAACTAAAGTGAGCAGATGATAACAAAATTATATTTTAAATATGTGTTAATATTTTTAAATTCATCTATAAAAATTGAAATAAAAGTACAATGTATAAATAATAAAATTTGATCCAAATTTTAAAAATAAAGTTATCATTTATAAAAAATAAAAATATTATTATATTTATAACATATTAGTATATATTCGTTTTGGAATTTACGGTATGGAAAATTATCTCGTACTATTTCCAAATACCAAACAGAGCATTCAGTTCGGTACGATTCAGTATTTAAATGGAATTTTTTCGGTTCCATATTTTTTGTTCAA